GAGTGACACTATTCCTCTCACTGTCACCAGTCAGGGGGCATTTTTTACTGCCACTGACTCCAGGACTTTTTCTACGCCCGCTGGCCACAGTCCGGCCCCCCTAAAGATTGAAGAACAATAAAATGGTCCTTTGATTAGAAAGTTTGGAGACCCCTGATCCAGACCATTTGAGGAACATTACATTGCTCAACATTTCCACCAAATGTATAAGGAAGAAACCAAAAGAATTAGAAGAGGAAATGATGCCCTTCATGTATCCCCTAACAGGTAAATTTCTACACAATTCTGGTGTAAAATGGAAGAATGTGGATTTACAAGTTGGACGCTACAGTACAGTTCCTGTGAATTCAACCGAGAATGTGATGTACAGATTTCTCCCTGACTGTATATAATCCTTTATCCTTCATCATGTCCCACATGTACACTATGAATGTTTATTTTAGAGGGCCTATTGAACTGAAACAATATTAACCACTTTAGGACCGCCCACAGTACCTTTTCTGCTACAGGGCAGCCCCTGTGCGCAGGATCACGTACACATAAGTGATTCTGCATTTCTGGGTAGGGGGCGCGCTCGAGCCGCGTGCACGCCCTACCCCCGCCGATGTCAATCACTGGTTCCCAGCTGGTAATTACCCGCAGGTATCATTACCAATAACAAAACCCGTATGGCATACGGATATATACAGCGTCTCTTGATATTTGAAGAAATTACATTAAACAACACTCTGAATGTGTGGTAAACTCGTGACAGTCTTTCACAGGTCAGAATAGCAATGGTGACATTGGTGGTACGTATAGGTGTAGATTACACTAATCAGATAGTGCTAATTAATTGCGCATATGAATGATGATACATGGGTCATCTGCACTTGGACATCTAGGATACGGATCGTCTGATGGACAGCCACAGGAATTCCAGCCTATCAGCCACTCTTCCAGATAATAGCAAAGCGATCAGGATTCACCAGAGGGAGCCAGCGATCAGGATGTCATCACAGGTCTTAAACCCAGCATCAGGGAGTATGTAGTACACACGAAATCCACCAGAGGGAGCCGGCAATTAAGATGTCATCCAGTGGCCTCCTTTTAAGAGGCAGGCTCATAGAAGAAAGAGCCCAAGCACAAAGAATGCCATAGTGCAACACTGCTTTACTGTGAAGAACATCAGTTAAAAGGAATGACACTTACACTTGTTAAAAAAACACTTTTGGCACCTAGCCAGCTGAGGGGTCCACGTGGTAGAGTCACTGAGAGCCGCTTCCTGACATGTTTCGTGCGATAGCACGTTTTCAAAGAAAGCTGGCCACTCTCAGTGACAGTTCTTATATATTGTGGGCGGCGCATGCTCATTAGGAAGCCATGACATCATCGCCGTTCGTTCGCGCGTGCGGCCATTTTCTAGAAGTCCAGTGATTACATAGACTTCTGTTGAGGACATAGTAGAACATAGGGAGAGGGAGGAAAACTGCCTCTCTACTCACTCTCCATAGGATTCCTTTCTCCATAGGTCCTAGTAGTTCTAAATTAACACGATTCCTCTTAGAAAAAGATCAGAAGCTACAGGTGAAACTCAAAAAATTAGAATATGGTGCAAAAGTTCATTTATTTCAGTGCAGCAACTTAAAAGGTGAAACTAATATATGAGATAGACTCATTACATGCAAAGCAAGATAGTTCAAGCCGTGATTTGTCATCATTGTGATGATTATGGCTTACAGTTCATGAAAACCCCAAATCCACAATCTCAGAAAATGAGAATCTTGTGAAAAGGTGGAATATTCTCGGCTCAAAGTGTCCCACTCTAATCAGATAATTAAGCCATAACACCTGCAAAGGGTTCCTGAGCCTTTAAATGGTCTCTCAGTCTGGTTCAATAGGAATCACAATCATGGGAAAGACTGCTGACCTGACACCATCATTGACACCTTCCATAAGGAGGGAAAGCCTCAAAAGGGAATTGCAAAAGAAGTTGGATGTTCCCAAAGTGCTGTATCAAAGCACATTAATAGAAAGTTATGTGGAAGGGAAAAGTGTGGAAGAAAAAGGTGCACAAGCAGCAGGGATGACCGCAGCCTGGAGAGGATTGTCAGGAAAAGGCCATTCAAAAGTGTTGGGGACTTTCACAAGGAGTGGACTGAGGCTGGAGTCAGTGCATCAAGAGTCACCACACACAGGCAGATCCTGGACATGGGCTTCAAATGTCGTATTCCTCTTGTCAAACAGCTTCTGAACAATAAACAAGAAGCATCTTACCTGGGCTAAAGAAAAACAGACCTGGTCTGTTGCTCAGTTTTCCAAAGTCCTCTTTTCTGATGAGAGCAACTTTTGCATCTCATTTGGAAACCAAGGACCCCGCGTATGGAGGAAGAATGGAGAGGCCCAAGGACCCCGAGTATGGAGGAAGAATGGAGAGGCCCAAGGACCCCGAGTATGGAGGAAGAATGGAGAGGCCCAAGGACCCCGAGTATGAGGAAGAATGGAGAGGCCCAAGGACCCCGAGTATGGAGGAAGAATGGAGAGGCCCAAGGACCCCGAGTATGGAGGAAGAATGGAGAGGCCCAAGGACCCCGAGTAGTATGGAGGAAGAATGGAGAGGCCACAAGGACCCCGAGTATAGAGGAAGAATGGAGAGCCCGAGGACCCCGAGTATGGAGGAAGAATGGAGAGGCCCAAGGACCCGAGTATGGAGGAAGAATGGAGAGGCCCAAGGACCCAGAGTATGGAGGAAGAATGGAGAGGCCCAAGGACCCTGAGTATGGAGGAAGAATGGAGAGGCCCAAAGACCCCGAGTATGGAGGAAGAATGGAGAGGCCCAAGGACCCCGAGTATGGAGGAAGAATGGAGAGTCACACACTGCAAGATGCTTGAAGTCCAGTGTGAAGTTTCCACAGTCTGTGTTGATTTGGGGAGCCATGTCATCTGCTGGTGTTGGCCCACTGTGCTTCATTAAGTCCAGGGTCACTGCAGCCGTCTACCAGGAGATTTTGGAGCACTTCATGCTTCCTTCCACAGGCGAGCTTTATGGGGATGCCGACTTCATTTTCCAGCAGGACTTGGCACCTGCCCACACTGCCAAAAGCACCAAAACCTGGTTCAATGACCGTGGGATTACTGTGCTTGATTGGCCAGCAAACTTGCCTGACCTGAACCCCATAGAGAATCTATGGGGCATTGCCAAGAGAAAGATGAGAGACATAAGACCGAACAATGCAGAAGAGCTGAAGGCTGCTATTGAAGCATCCTGGTCTTCCATAACACCTCAGCAGTGCCACAGGCTGATAGCTTCCATGCCACGCCGCGTTGAGGCAGTAATTGCTGCAAAAGGGGCCCAAACCAAGTACTGAGTACATATGCATGCTTCTACTTTTCAGAGGTGCGATATTGTTCTATGTACAATCCGTGTTTTATTGATTGCATGTAATATTCTGATTTTCTGAGATTGTGGATTTGGGGTTTTCATGAGCTGTAAGCCATAATCATCACAATGATGACAAATCACGGCTTGAACTATCTTGCTTTGCATGTAATGAGTCTATCTCATATATTAGTTTCACCTTTTAAGTTGCTGCACTGAAATAAATGAACTTTTGCATGATATTCAAATTTATTGAGTTTCACCTGTATGTATGCCTGATCTCATGGTTATTTATGCTGTTAAGCCATGTTTGTAGGAGATTGGCAATCATAATTAGTATGGCTGGAATTGTGCAATATAATAGTAGAACTACCAGTGCCAGCAAATCAAAAAACTTTTTGTATAGCATGCGCAGACCCACAAGTATATGGAATAGATAGATCAATCAATGGTTAAAACACTTACAATATGCTGACGTTTGGACATGTTAAAAACTCAGAATATTAATACCCCGTAAAAATATAAATATGAAGGTATATAAAAAAATATATAAATATATAGGTATTGAAATTATGATAAATAAAAATATTATAAAAAAATGTTTTTGTTTTTAACAACATATCTGAATATAAAACATCTTTTCAGACAAAGTACTTCATGTGTAAATGAGATAAAAAAAATGACAGCTATTGCATAATGCATTTTACTAATATTGTCTATTATCAGTTACATCCTTTGGATTATTGGTTGTAATGCTGTAGCTAGAAAGCAAAGAACCAATTGCTAATATAATATTCAAATGGCATGCGCACCTAAATTATGGTAATGTGGCGCCTGTGTTGGACTCCATACCCACATACTAAGTGTAAATAGTGTTAATAAAATGATAATAATCAAAAAATATCCATTAAAAACACAACCAAAGACAAAATAATGTGTAATAAAATCCACCTATCATTATTGAACTATTTTGGCATCTCGGAACGGGGAGGATTAACTAGTGTCTATGTAACAGTTGATATCCAATTCGACATTAAGACCAAGTGGTGCTGAAGTCCGTAATAAATAGATCCACTTGGTTTCAAGCCTCGACACTGCGCGGCGCTTAAAAATACCTCTCCAATGACTGGTGATATTGTCTATCCCTATGAATTTCAGGCAGTGTGGGTTTTTGTTATGGATCACAAGTGGAAGCCACATATGCAAACTGTTGTAATTCCTACACCGTTCACCTGATTTGGATGTAAATACCCTCAAATTAAAGCTGACAGTCTGCAGTTAACCACTTGCCTACAGGGCACTTATACCCCCTTCCTGCCCAGGCCAATTTCCAGCTCTCGGCGCTGTCACACTTTGAATGACAATTGCACGATCATGCAACACTGTACCCATATGAAATTTTTATCATTTTTTGAGACAGATAGAGCTTTCTTTTGGTGGTATTTAATCACCTCTGGGATTTTTATTTTTTCTTAAACAAACCAAAAACCACTGAAAATTTTAGTTATACAATTTTGTAAATAAGTGATTTTTCTCCTTCACTGATGTGCGCTAATGAGGCTGCAGTGATGGACACTGATAGGCTGCACTGATGGGCACTGATAGGCTGCACTGATGGACACTGATAGGTGGAACTGATGGGCACTGATGAGGAGGCACTGGTAGGTTGCACTGATGGGCATTAACAGGCATCACTGATGGGCACTGAAAGGCAGCACGGATACATGGCACTGATATATGGCACTGATAGGCGGCACTGACTGGCACTGTTAGGCGGCACTGACTGGCACTGATGGGTGACATTGAAAGGCAGCTCAGATGGGCACTGATATGTGGCATTGATGTGCACTGGTATGCACTGATATGTGTCATTGATGTGGCACTGGCACATGGCAATGATGAGCACTGACAGGTGGCACTGATGAGCACTGACCGGTGGCACTGATGGACACTGACAGGTGGCACTTCTGGGGCTACACCTGATTTTCAGTGCTCTGATGATCAGTGTACATGTCCCCTCTGAGGAATGCTGATTACCGGCTCTCCTCTCCTCTGTCAGAGTGACAGCTCGAGAGGAGAGAAATGCCGATAACCAGCATTTCCGTGTTTACATGTGATCAGCTGTGATTGGGACACAGCTGATCACATGACCGAGCCGACATCTTCGGCTCTTTCTGTGATCTGAGGGACACAGCGCATTGGTGATCGCATGCGCGGTGAAAATGGGAGGACGTCATATGACGTCCTATCAGAACGAGAGAACCAACTTGCGCCTGTCATTGTACTATATGGCGGGCGGGAGGTGGTTAAAGCACATCTCGATCGTTTCATTTCAATCCATTGTGGTGGTGTGTATAGAGCCAAAAATGTTAGAATTGTGTCCATGTCCCAATATTTATGGACCTGATTGTAGTATGTGAGATTATAAGGTGTTCACAAACTTTTGATCATATAGTGTGTATGTATGTATGTATGTATGTATGTATGTATCTATCTATCTCTATTATCTATCTATCTATCTATAAATTCCCCCAAAAAGTCCCTTTTTGTATATCCATCATCAATCATGTTGACATGTTTGTGCTAAATCCATTGTTAGTCATGTCCATATATGTAGTTAATGATGTCACTATGGAGACCCCACCATCTTGTAAATAACAGCTGTTAAATCAACCCTGCTTTTTTGTTAACAAAGCCGTTGGTTTCCATTGTGAAGCATTACAACCTTCGGCACTGTGTGGGCCATTGGTCGGCGTGCAAACAATTCATAATATAATTGGATGATAAGGTGCACATTAGGCATCTACACAGCATCCTTGCCTGTCCCTCTCCCACCCCTATGTATCAGCACTGGAGTCACATTTGCTGAGTGGGGAAGAGAAACTAGGGAAGTAAAACACTGGAATATTAGTCAGTATCAATGTGCAAAGGTGTATTTACTTTTGTATGAATAAACCACCTCTAATGTTGAGGTGACACAAAGGTGTGCAGTAGGGTTGGTATCGCTGGAAGTGTCTGTAATATGCACGGTGACATATCATTGCTAGAACATTGGTGAACACAGAGAAAACTGCAGTTCATTGTTTATAAGTGTAAGATAACGCACCTACAGAAAAGAGGGGGTTTTCTGACAGTTGAAAAATGGCAGTTATTTTTTTGACAGTTGAAAAATGATAGTTATTTTGTGGTCAGTTGAAAATGACAGTTCATTTTTTACAGTTGAAAGAAATGGCAATTGCAAAATTAGTATTTTATGGCAGTTGAAAAATGACAGCTACTTTTTGTGGTAAAAAAAAACATTTTTTTCACAGTTGAAAAATTACAGTTATATTTTTATAAATATACAGAGATCCTCATGCGCTCCACGGAATCCCTAACCAAAGCCAGCTGCTGTCACCTTTTCCCTATACCAGTGGTCGGCAAGCCGCGGCTCGCGAGCCACATGCGGCTCTTTACACGCTTTAATGCGGCTCTTGTGTGCCGGGCGCCCGCTCCCCTCCCTCCTCTCAGGCGGCAGGGACTCTGCAGCGTGATCCAAAAAAAAAACAGCCAGGGCAGCGCGCTCAAATGCAATGATTGGCCAGTCTCGCTGCCACTCACATCCTGATAGCCAGTGATTGGCTGTCAGGATGTGTGTAGGCGGGGCAACGTGACAAACGTGAGGGGAGCTAGGCTCCTCTCACAGTCCGCCCTGAAGACCGGAACGGCGCGGGAACACGGCGAGAGGAACGCGCGGAGCAAAGGTAAGTGAATTGACACAGAGGGGACTTGGCTTACTACTTGCTACTTACTTACTACTACTATATGAGGAATGAATTAATATGGGGGATGAATTAATATGGGGGATGAATTACTATATGGGGGATGAATTACTATATGGGGGATGAATTACTATATGGGGGATGAAATTACTATGGGGGATGAATTACTATGGGGGATGAATTACTATATGGGGGATGAATTAATATGGGGGATGAATTACTATGGGGGATGAATTACTATGGGGGATGAATTACTATATGGGGGATGAATTACTATATGGGGGATGAATTACTTATGGGGGATGAATTACTATGGGGATGAATTACTATATGGGGGATGAATTACTATGGGGGATGAATTACTATATGGGGGATGAATTACTATATGGGGGATGAATTACTATATGGGGGATGAATTACTATGGGGGATGAATTACTATGGGGGATGAATTACTATATGGGGGATGAATTACCATGAGGGATGAATTACTATATGGGGGATGAATTACTATATGGGGGATGAATTACTATGGGGGATGAATTACTATATGGGGGATGAATTACTATATGGGGGATGAATTACTATGGGGGATGAATTACTATGGGGGATGAATTACTATATGGGGAATGAATTACTATATGGGGGATGAATTACTATGGGGGTGAATTACTATAGGGGGGATGAATTACTATGGGGGATGAATTACTATATGGGGGATGAATTACTATATGGGGGATGAATTACTATGGAGGATGAATTACTATAGGGGGGATATTACTATATGGGGGATGAATTACTATATGGGGGATGAATTACTATGGGGATGAATTACTATATGGGGGATGAATTACTATATGGGGGATGAATTACTATGGGGGATGAATTACTATAAAAACTTATTGAAACTAAAAACAGTGTACCATCCTATGTATTTTCAGTTTTAAAAATGTGGCTCTCAAAATAAATTTCAATCGTGGTTTTGGCGAGATTTGGCTCAGTTGAAAAAAAAGGTTGCCCACCACTGCCCTATACCATAGGATATGTGCAAATAACAAAAAATATAGTGTTGAAGCGCTCAGCTTATATTGTGTATAAAAAAAACAATTATAATTAATTCATTCAATCCCCTACAAATTAATGATGAATACCGTGATTACAACAATAAATTCGTGCTCAAATATATATAAAAAATATACAAAATACACTACTAATCCATTGAGATAATATATTGTGGCAAATCACACTCCTATTTGGCCACCTAGTGGCTAACCAAAACAAGTGAAATATTTGATGAAGTGATAACACTTGTTGTGTTCAAAGTGACAGGTGTACCAAATTAAATAAATAAATAAATAAAAAACAGTCCAAAATACATGTGATGCCAAACTGTGCAAATAATAAGTGTTCAGTACACAGTGATTCACAACTTCATTCCATGTTACAAACATGCTCCTAGTGACTATATTTTTATAGTGGCAAGAAATTACAGAGTTTTTTTGTCAGTGGCAATAAAATGACAGTTGAAAATGACAGTTCATTTTTTAACTGTAGCAAAGAATGACAGTTAATTTTTGACAGTGGAAAAAATGGTAATTGAAAAATGAGGATTTTTTTGACAGTTGAAGAATAACAGTTATTTTTTGTCATTTGAAAAATGACATTTAATTGTAACAGTTGAAAAACGACAGTTATATTTGACAGTTGAAAAATTACAGTTTATTTTACAGTGGCAATAAAATGCAGATAATTTTTGACAGAGAAATAAATCACATTTAAAGAAAGAGGGGTTTTTTTTGACAGTTGAAAAATGAAATTTTTTTGACAGTTGAAAAATGACAGTTTTTTTTTACAGTGGCAAAAACTTAGTTATTTTTTTGTCAGTTGAAAAACATTTCTTTTTGACAGTAGAAAAATGAGTGGTTTTTTTTTTGTCAGTTGAAAAATGACAGTGGCAAAAATTATAGTTATTTTTGCCAGTTGAAAAAGGACAGTTACCTTTTGACAGTTGAAAATGACAGTTATTGTTTTACAGTGGAAAAAGGGCAATTGAAAATTGAGTGTTTCTTGACAGATAAAAAATGACAGCTATTTTTTGTCGTAAAAAAAACATTTTTTTCACAGTTGAATATGACAGTTAATTTTTTTACAGTAGCAAAAAATGACAGGTAATTTTTGACAGGGTAAAAAATGGCAATTGAAAAATGAGGGGTCTTTGACAGTTGAAAAATGACAGTTATTTTTTGTCGTAAAAAATTAGGGTTTTTTACAGTTGAAAAATGTAATTTATTTTTAACAGTTAAAAAAACGAGAGTTATATTTGACAGTTGAAAAATAACAGTTTATTTTACATTGGCAACAAAATGTAGACAATTTTTGACAGTGAAAAAAAAACACATTTAAAAAAAGAGGGTTTTTTTTTTTTTGACAGCTGAAAAATTAGTTTTGGTTTGTCAGTTGAAAAACATTTATTTTTGATAGTAGAAAAACGAGGGTTTTTTTTTTTTTTGTCAGTTGAAAAATGACAGTGTCATTTTTTGCCACTGTCAAAAATATCTGTAATTTTTCAACTAACAAAAAAAATGGCATTTTTCAACTGTCAAAAACCTCCTCATTTTTCAAATGTTAAAAAAACCTCTTATTTTCAACTAATTTTATTGCTACTGTCAATAATAAGTGTGACAAGCATGCAGCCAGTGAAGGGAGAACACTCGGACCTCCTGCATGCTTGTTCCTGGTCAGTGACACACTAGGGATGAAGTGAGGTTTAGGATGAAGATGACGGCCCCGAAACCTGCAGCTTTCTCCACAAATCACTCCTGTTTCCTGCCCTTCCTCCTATTGGCTGAGTATTGCACCAATCAGATCACCCCCCTTGTGATGTCTCTGGGAGGATCTCTCATTTCTGGCTCCCACATATCATTATACAACCTGTCCATACACATACCCCAACATGGAGGGGCTCACTGAAGATGGTGGTGAAGGTGTGGAGGTGTCGGATCGGGTCACACAGATCATAGAAGGAGATCCGCCCGGCCTCATAATCCACATCTATCCTGATTCTGGTACTGGTGACACCGCCGGGTAATGGGGTCCTTTTACTGTCATGTCTCACTGAGTACTCATCATCCTCAAACACCCGCAACCCCTCCAACCCCCAGGACTTCTTATTATATCCAATCACTGACTGATCTCCTCTCCTGTCTATATTGGGGTAACACATCCCGACTATCCAGTACCGTGACCCCCCAACATCCACTTCCCAGTAATGTCTCCCGGAGGAGAAGCTCTGACTGCTCATCACCTGAGGACAATCCTGGAATCTCACTGGTGTTTCTGGACGATTCTGATGTGATGATGAGGATGCAGTTTTCCCGTCATCTGATATATGTAGACGATTACCAGCTGTCC